CTTTTGATACTCCAACTGCTGCAGCAGTAGTTTGTGCAATGGCCAGGGAGCAGGTCCATACACAGCAGCTGACTGCCATCACTGTCTACAGGGTCTTGGCAGGTTTTTTTATCTCTGAAGGCAAGATCAAGCCTCTGGTTCTTACCTTGGAGCTTGACAGGAGAGCACATTTCAAGGCACAGTCTGACCTCATGTGAACATCAGCCCTTAGACAACTTGGGCCTGCATAAAACTTACATGCTCACTGAAGTCAGACTCTGTTTCTTCTATCCACATCAAGTAATATTTGTGTGTGATTAGAGTGCCAGATGTGCTCTGCCACATGTAAGCTCAGGCAAAAATAGGAAGTATGCCAACACCCTTAGCCCTTCGTCATCATTCTGCCTTACTACCAATCTCTTCACTTTTCTGTCTCAGCCTGTGTGAGGTCACCAGCACCTCAGTGTACAGCACTCAAGCAGGCTGCTTTGCCAGTTCATTGCACACCATGAAGGCCAGGCTGAAACAGAGGATATCAATTCATGCAAGTTATGCACATGCACAGCTCCACAAAACACTGCAACAACAGCACTATTCAAACCTGTTTCCAGTTCTATCATAAATCTAAGGCTCTACACAAAGTTAACTTTGTATAAATTACTAGCATTCTCACAATACTTGTCTCTCAAAATAAGTGATATAAGAACCTTTTGTAATTCTGTGAAATACGTTTCCTTCTCCTAAAGTTATTATCCAATAGTTTTACTTGGGGAAACTATTTGGAGATGTTAAAAAAAACAATTAACAAACAGTGATGGAGGGGAAGGACTCTTGCTTACACATCAGTGTGGCAAACAGACAAAAACATGGAATCACAAAAAGCAATTTAAATGCCAATAAAAGTTATGAAGTTTGTGTTCAAGGTTTAGTTCTGCCTCTAGAGCATGCCAAACTTCTAGTGGCCCCAGAAGACATCAAAAAGACTAGAGAATAATTTGCTTCTTTGTAAAAGTGGGATGCACTAAATGGATGGGAAAGTAAGGATAAGACACAAAAAACTGGGAGACCTGTGTTTTCCCTTAGATTTTTAGCAGTCACTTGCTTATAGAAAATTGGGGTATCATCAAATTACACCAATTTGTAATGGTTATCTGGATGATCATTAAGACAGCTGCGTGTCAGTCCTCTTTACCCACTAACTCTTCTTCAGAGCTGGGCTAAGAGATCTCAGGATCATCTTGCTAAACAGTGTAAGGCATCTGCAGAACCGGGGCAGGACATAGCGACAAGGAGCACCGTACTTTCCAGAGGAAGACAAGACACTAACTCTTACAGTAGGAACACTATCCACAGCTTGGCAAAAGACAATATGCCTATTTGAAGGATTTGCTGTACGATGGGTCATGCTCTTTGTCATTTCCATTTTGCAGTAGCCATTGAGTACATAGAGACAGTTGCAGGGCTCCTCCTGTTGGTCCAGACCCAGGATATGCTGTCCCAAGCAAGCCTCGAAACCACTGCCTGGTGGTTTCTCCAGGCATTCTCTAATTGCTGTGTTGAAAACTAGAAGTCAGTGCCAAACACATCTGTGACAACACTTAACCCAGCTTGAGGGTTTCCCCAGATGAGGGAGAACACAAGAGTTCACATTCTTCCTATCAAAGTATTGCAAAACCAATCAAGAAGGTCACAGAGGGATTTCAAACTTTTCTCATCAACATGTTCTCTTTGAAAACTAAAGCATTTCCCATATAACACAATTTTGAAGAACACATTACCCTGTATCCAATGACTTTATCAAATCCAGTGTGCTTTGTTTTTAATTTTTGGGGGGGGAGAAGGGGTGTAGGGAGAATCAATTAGAACCTAGGAATAGCTCACCTATACATAAAAATATACATACATACTTGATTCCAGTGAAGAAAAAAATTACTTCACATAAGTTCATTCTCTCCATTTATTCCTCTCTCTTTCCTATGCTCCTTATTATTGACATTTCAGGCCTATCTTACTGTTTGTAGCAGGGTACATTGTAGATAAGACAAGAGTGAGCAGAGGGGGATGATACAGTTAACATAAAAAGCAACTGTGACAACTGAGTTTTGTTCTGCATGGGAAGAACATATTCAAGGATGTTAACTAATGCCTTACAGTCTTTGCCAGTCCTATCTTTCTAATTAAGAAACAAAGTTAAATACCCAAAGGACACCATATTCTAAACATATGCTTTCTGAACTCTGTACCAGGTCACCCTGCAGCAAGTAATTCTCAAAATAAAAGCACTTTGGATATGTGTCCTTTAACAGATGCTTGCCAATAGCCACCACAGAAAAACTAAAAATTACTTAATTTGGAGAAGGAAATGTCTGCCTCCTTTTCCAAAGGAGATTTTTTCCTCTAGTTTGGGTTGTTACCTGTTACTTAATCAGAAAAATATCGTTTTAAAAATTTGAAATGCCCTTACCACTTTAAATGACTTGGAATAAAGATAATTTGTAAGTATCCTTGTATAACAGGGATCAATCCTGCTTTTCAGTATTAATAAGAAAAAAAAACACAACAAACAAACACAAAAATACCTTCTATGGCAAGTGACTGTGTCCACTCAAATGTTAAGACTTACCAAATATCATATAAAGTTAAATGCCACTTGAATTAAAGCCTTTTCATTTTTCTTATGGCCTTTTTCACCTTACATTCTTCCCAAACAGTATTTTCTAAACACTTGTATCTTCTTTGTTTGTCAACTTGAATCTCATATTCCTGCTTTTCCCACTCAGAAGAGCCATTCGCCAACAAACTTGGTGCTAAACTCAACCATCACTTGAAATGCCAAACAACAGATTGTTTTGCTGCGTCTTGTGGCCTTTTATTTCCTTCCATTTGATTAGAAATACGTAATGAGTGCTAATTAGGTACTTTGAAGCTTGGGTGAAAGTTTTTATAAAAGTGCACATTTCTTCTAATACTTGAACAAGAGAAAAATAGGATAACAAAAGCACCAGACAGCACACTGACAAGTAAACTGAAAAAGGAAAAAAAAAACAAGAACAAAACAACAACAACAAAAAATAAAATATTTTTAACACTCCTTGTGAATGTGGGTACAGATGAAGACTGAAGCACTTCATGCTTTGCAGCAGACATACCATTAAGCAGCTCTGGCTCTGAATTTGCTGTTGTTTCAGAGCCTAAACTTTAAACCATATCTGACTCCATGTAAGTAGAAAGCAACTCTACAGGTGTTGCAAGTTTACCTTGGTATTACTATTGTCATCTTTATTATAACCCTGTGCCTGGGTCCAGCCAGACTATTCAGCAATGTATTAAAAAAGAAATGAGGAGCCAAAATGGGTTTCTATCCTACTTCAGTACCTTTCAATTATTAGATTAGCCCTTTAAGGGGTAATCAGGTAAATACCTGAAACTAATACAAGGCCAGAAACTCAAGCAACCCTGAGGATACTTTAAATAGCTGTGATCTCTCAGCAGGTTTTGCACAAAGGAGAAAGAATCTCCCCTAATAATTTCTTAATTTCACCTGGTTGCTGATCATAAAACTCATGATCCAAGGCTTCAGCTCTTGGCTTCAGCCAATCTTAAGGCTAAATTTTACAGCCATTGTGGACCAAGGCAGACCTTCCTTACTAGGTGGCCTCCACTACATATTTTATCAGATGATGAGTAGGTTATCCTGTTTGAGAGGAGTAACGTGTACTAAATAAAGCTACTATACGCACTTTAAAAGTTCACTCCATTCTGAATTTCTCTTTTGCCTTCCTGGACTCCAGTCCAGCAATTTTAAATTAACAAATTCTTAAAGACATCAATGAAAAGATGTATTATTAAGCCACCTTTCTTCTGAAATAGAGGTAAGTGGCTTCTGATAAATTAATCTTCATACTAAATCCACATATTTTAAGCATAGACTTGAAGAATGCTTAAAAAAATTAGTCTACAAACTTCAGTCTGCGAATAATGATGCAAACCCAACAAAGCCCATTAATCTTTTTACTCTGTGCAGCAATGAAAATAAAAATTAGGTCCATCACATACTTTACCAGATGTTACAAAGTCCTCAAGCGTACTACATTAGGTAGAACTTTGGCACAATTAAAATTTTAATTCTATGTAAACAGAATTTTAGTGCACATTGGGAAATGAAAGAGCAAGCTTATCTAAGCACATTTGACTACTACATATATACGTGTAATGCACTCCCTATTATGTGAAGAATAGAAATTCTTCTCAAGAAATCAAAGTTTTTCATAGTATTCTGTGGCTCATAAAAACCTTTTGACACTTCCTGTTTTGGTCATATTTAGCACTTATCTTTGTAGTATTTATTGGTAATAAAAATCAAATGTATTTCCTCTTTAGCTCATCTCTTTCTACAGTAACTACATTTTAGCAATGGTTTCATGGAACTAGAAGATACTGCTCTTCTTACTAATCCCTATCTCTCCTTATAAATAATCTCAATTTCCATTTGTTTATAAGTTAACACCAGCTGTCCATATTAATCTTTAACAAGAACAGGATACACAGGCATACAACACAGAAAAACAGATTACTTCGTACTACTACACAACTGCTTAAAAACATATTTACTTGTCAGTAATATTACTGTTTTTTCTTCACAGAAAGAGAAAATTGATTCAATCTACTGGGAGGATGTCCTATGGCTTGTTGGGAACTTTTATATTCTTTATGTTTTACATGTGTTTTTCCTATGTATTCTCCCTGTAGTCTCCCTTCCCCTTGCTTAAATAACTTTCTCTCATAAAAGTAGTCATTACTTTCAAGAAGGCTGTTGAAACATTATTGTTATAAAGACATTCATCACTTCTTTTCCATTGAAAAAACCCAACATGTTAATGCTTGATTATGCAAGTTTAGTTTTGGAAAGTACCAGAGCAAGTAAACAGTGATAAATATTAAAAAATCTGAGAAAACTGTCCAACACTGAAGAGCAGGTTTTATACTGCTGTGTTGGTATCCTGATCTTCAGTTCAGAAACTGTTTTTCCAAATCTGCTTTTTGGGAGCAATTTGGAAGGCAATTTTGTTATTTGATAAGATGTCCATCACTAAATTTGACTAAACACTCATACAGACACCCCTCCCATACAAACACACACACACGCTTATTTTACAAAAGTCTCCTTTAAGCAAGTAGTCACAACACAGAAAATATGCTCCCGTGTGTTCACTGAAATTCCTAAATGATTTGTCACCAACCACACTTTGACTCAAAGGAGATGGTTATTTGATTCTTCTGAGAAGCTATGTTCAAAAGCAGCTAGATGATGATGGTGGTGTGATATAAATTCATTATATATATGAGAAAAATGCATTGTCCATCTGTACAGCAGTCCATCCTGAGAAACTTCCACTGACAGATTCTTGCTATTTTCCATCAGTCATGGGGTCCCCATCAATAAATAGAAGGTCAGTGCAACAATGAGGAGCAAGCAGAATGGAGAAGAGAAGGTCTGATAGGCAGCTGATGGCATGAAAATATCTTCATACTTGTAAATACTGACAACACGCTCTGATACGGGTGGTGAGTCTATATCATGACGAGTTATAGAACCTTTAATAATAGGTAAGGGCAGAAATAAATAGCATCAGATGCATTTTTTTTCTGTAACTCTACCAAAGAAACAGGTAGAAAGCCAAGTAATTTTCACATCTCCAGAAGCATGCCATATTACACTGTCAGCGAGTAGGGTCATTTCTCTGCTTTCTGAAATTAAACTTCTGAATAAAATAAATTAAATTCAAGTAAACAACAAACATCCTTCAAAGGAATTTGGAACTTCTTGTTATAAATTATCCTTACCTAAATTTATCTTTGGGGAGTGGGGATAATATCTACATAGTGAAGAAAACATGACAGGTAGGGCTATTATTTATTTTTTCTTCCTGTTAATCTGTTTTAAACCTCCCACTGCCAGAATTTTAGTTAATTTTAAAAAAGGTGGTCCAGTAAGAATATTGCAGTTGAAAGACAGGGCTCAGTTTTGGCACCCAAGTTCTGTCAGAAGCATGGAAATCAACTTACCCTGAATTGCTGGACCCCAAGCAAACAGATAGTACCAACTCAAGTGCAGATCTACGATGGTTTCTTCTCGGGGAACATACACAGGACGCTTGAATCGACACGTTACACGATTGTTTTCAAAAACCCCTTCTTCATCTCTAGCAGGATTTCTCTGGATTTCTTTAGCCCACTGGCCGACATTATAGAAGTGCTGTATCCGGACTCTTCCATTATCATCATGAACACAAGCCATGACATCATCTCCTCCCTACATGGTAAAAACACATTGGTAGAAAGAAAACAAAAGTGCCACAAATAATCTCCTCATTTATGTATATAATTTTAATTATCAAAAATTAATCAAGACCTGGGGTGCTCATTCCTTCTTTCTAAGTTACATATACCCAACTATTTGTTCTCCTAATCATGTGTCTTCAGTCAGATTACATAGCACAAAGTGGATAGTAATACTTACTTATGCTTACTGTCTCCAAATTCTCTGCTGGATCTTTTTAAGAGCTATTTTACCTAACATATATATTTGTAAGATGATATCACCCTGTCATCACATAATTAATTGATCAGTGGAAGGCTGTTTTCTGCTGTAATTTGTGAAGTTCTGGGATTCTGCTTCATAAAAACTGATGGTCTTGAATCCTTGATGAGTGCAAAATCCACTGCATAGGATCATGGACAGAAACCCATGGTAAAATTTGGTAAAACACAGGAGATAAATCTAAAAAATCTGGCCAGACAATAGCATAAATTCCAGTCTGGTTGTTTGGTTTTTTTCCTAATCTCTTCTCATATTCACTTAAGGGACCATTACTTCTTGTATCTCTTAAGAGAAAATAAAAACTTTTTTTAGGCAGTTACTGAAAACAGAACAATATGAGATACGAGAAAAGAGTAATCAAGATGTGCTTCTCCATGTAATATAAACATCCACCAAGCACTACAATCAAGCCAAAGAAACATCAGACAGAACAAAGTGTGAGACAACTGCTTGTAGAGGTCATTCATAGAAATATTAAACCAGTTGCTAGAAGAGTTACACAAGGTCACTGCCAAAGTGGTACTGCATCAGTCAGGGATTAACATTAATTTTAGGAGTACTATCTCATAAAAGTCTCAGCATCTTAAACATTAAAACACTGTGCAAGCTGGATGAGTGGCATTTTTCTTGAACACCAGTGCCACAGGTATTCGTGCCACATTAAACACAGGTCTTGCTTCTCTAGTATGAGTCTTCCTGGTATGTCATGCTGGTGATAAACACAATGCTTGCTAGTGTGATCATCTCTGAGCACTTTGTTATAGTGAAAGGAGAGAAAAAAAGGTGCAGTTCAGGTCTCCGGGAATACTGCTACATGGATTTGTAAAAGATGTGCTGAAAGTGATGGGAAAAGGGGACAACTAGGTAAAATGCATGACTGAACCTTGGCGCTGCTGCAGGCAACCTTTCCAGCTTCTGTCTTGAGCCTGTCTTTGCTCTGTGTAACTTACTTTCCAAGTTTAATTTTATATAAATCTGTCATTCTTTTAAGTACAGAGGCAAAAATGAAGCTGTTTTCACATAGAAAAAAAAATTAAAAGGAAGGAAAAAAGCATTCTTAATCTCAGTTAATAGAATGACATTACAAAATCCTGCCAAGGCACAAAAGACTGCAAGTGGAAAAGCAAAATGTTATTCCAGACAAAGAAATAGGTCACAGGACTTCGAAAAAAACCCTATTGAGGACACAAAATAAGGGTATTCCAGACAAAGAAATAGGTCACAGGACTTCAAAAAAAACCTATTGAGGACACAAAATAAGGGTTTTTTCCTTAATTTCTGTAGCTATCCAGGCCACACCATTTTGATTAGTGTATCCTTGGCATAGCCCGCTTCTCACAGCCAAGCTGTTTTGTTCCAGAGCCATTTTACCATTACAGCCTCTGTATCCCAGGACACAAAAACATCCTGGAAGTTATGACGGAGTATGAAGTCAGCAGGGGAACAAGAGACAAATGGTAGCTGGTTTAGCCCAGCTGATTGGTAGGCATTAGTTTGCATACACAGCAAATCTTGAAGTAGAACTTTTTACTTTGTGCTTGCTTTATTCTTACTGTAAGTTGAGACCTACCATGCTGTTTGGTGTATCTGGGCTGAAATGTAAGGGGTGATCTCCAAAGGGCTGATGAGGTACAGGTGGTGGGACCCTGGGACCTACTGCAGGTATATCAAGAGTTACAAATCTCTGACAGCTTGGGGCCAAATACTTAAAGGTGCTGAGCTGCTTTGAAAATCCTGTTGAGTACTTGCATTGCCAGGCACCTAAACTTGTCCCAGAATTTGGCTGAAGAACTGTTCCTCATAACATTAAACACGAACAGTTTCTTATGAACTGTTCTTTATGACACAAAAGACTGCCAGGTTTATTTGGTTTATTTACAGTGTCATATTAAAACATACATAGCAATGAATGAAAAACACCACTTGCCCTCACATTTCCTTTCTATTTCTTATTTTGAGTTCAATAACAAAGGTGTCAAGTCAGTGTGAGCCTTGCCACTGACTTTAGTGGGTCCCAGCCTAGGATTCTAAATTCTGTATTTTTTTTCAGACTATTGCTTACAACTATACAAGAAACACTTCTGTCCTCTGACTTGTGTTTTATGACATAGGCTGGGTATATTTTTAAATACTCAGGAGTGCTTCTGTACATGAACACCTAAATTATGAACTGCATTTTAATCCTAAACATTTTACTACAGGTCACAGACAAAACACGTTTGCATTAGTTGTGTATGGCTCATGTTTTTTAAAGTCCATAGAGTGTATGCTCTTCTTTTGCTCATAGACATACAATTAAAAATGAAGCTTTTGAATGGAACAGTAAATACAGGGATGAGCACAAAATAAAATTTTTAAAAAAATAAATCCAGGGGAGCTAAAAGGAATCTCAACAACATTACTTTCTAGAGTTTCAATTACCAGTAGTCATTTTGCCACTCATTTGTGGCTCCTCTGGAACAAATACAGAGGAGTGAAAAACCAACAAATATTTCCAAAGTTTAGTGGTGAAATCTATATTTGTATCACTGAAAGTCAGCTGATTTAATGAAGAATAAAATTAGGTGCTACTTAGTTTCTGATGTGCCTTTTGTCCAAGTACCACTCACTAACGCAGGACAGGACATTTCCATGTGAATTGGCTGACTCCCAAGGGCTTTTCTAACAGAAAGGCAAAAAGCTAATAACATTCAGACATTGAGAGCTGAACTGAAATACTGTTGTAATTCTCAGTGAAGAAGGAAAAGGAGATGTTAGGAAGGATGAGGTCGTTTCCTGGGTAGGCCCAGCTTCTGCCCCCTGGCTTGGTGACCAAATTGTGCTCTGTTTTCAGTTTCTCCTTATATGCTCTGACAGATTAAATATGAACCACTTCTATCCTAGCATGTAAAAGTGTGCGTGCTGCCAACATGAAGAGCTGTACGTGTCTTACCATTTTCTTGTCTGAGGAAAATCCCACTGCCACCCAGCCATCAGTATCAGCACTCAACTCAAACTCGACATCGGCGCCTATTCTGCGGTAACTCAGGAAGTAGTCACAGGTCTCCGCATTACATCCAGGCTTACCATACCTAAATGGAATTGGAAATAAATGTCACTTTTCCTTGAAATTTCCTGCTGTGGAACTTTATTACATTTCTGTAAGAAAAATACTAAAATAATGCATTTTGGTATAATGGCAGTGAAGCATGTTATATTATGCCATGCACAAAGTAACATTAAACACATACAAAGTGTTTGCAATTATTACTCATTTAGTGTAAGAACCTATAGTATTTGAACAGTACAACAAGCAATTAATTACACACAGTATTCCTCTGATGATCTTGCTAGCCCTGGTTGTGTAAGAGCTTCATGAAAATGCAAGAAACATGAAATAAATCCTATGATGTATAACTACGACGTGTAACTATGATGTATAACCCTAAGTAATCTAGTTTCCTCAAAAAAAAAATAAATTATACATAGCTATAAAGTATGTTCTTAAATAATGAACATTTATTAACATGAATATGGAACATTTTCCAAAGTCCCTAAAGCAATTGGACAGCATTTGCAAATGTAAGAGTATCTGTGCTCTTATCTCAGACTGACCTGAAGCATCCCTTGGTTTTTCCACAGTCATCCACTTTGATTTTTGCAAATGGATCCACAGGAGGAGCAGTAGGAAAAGGGTAACCTGTTTAATGAGAAAAATCATTACTAAATAAAACAGAAGGAATAAAAAGCAGTAATGCTAAAGGGTTCCACTAGCATTTACTTTGTCTGCTGATAACTGAGCTGTTCAGATGTCACATGCACAGTCCCTTGTTCAGATGCTCCTGCATCCAGGTACCAAAGCAACACTAATAACTGAAACAAAAATTTTTTCCAAGTCTCCTCCATTTGCCAAGAAGGGAGAAGGATGCTGGAGCACGGGTTTGCTACAATGAGGACAGAAGTTAACTTAAGGGAGCAGGAACATGAAATAAAGCAGTCAGGTAGTAATTAGGGATCGCGCCTCAGCTATCTCTTTGTGCACCCTCAGTGGCCTCAGGAAATCCGCTAAGGGAACTAAATCTGATTCCTTAGCTGTGAATGGCAGCATGAAGTATAAATGCAGGGCACCAGACTCGGAGGAATGGATACTGAAAGGACCTCGTAATACATCCTCTGTTAAGAAGTGCGTAGAATTGAGGGGCAAGAGAGAATCAAAACGGGGAACTGCCTGCAGTGATGACCTGCAATCACAGGTGGAAGAACACCTAGAAGAGCTAGACATGAACATAGGTATTTTAACAGGACGTTCTTCTATTTAGCCAATTGAAAAATGAAGTGCTAATTGTGAAACTAGAAAGTCCTCTGCAAAAAAACCCAAACGTTTAACCTACACAAATTCAGGCACTTGAGAGCCCTGATTCACTTTCCTTGATTTCTGACAGTGCCAGTGGAGAAAGTCTGCTGTAAGCTACAGCCTTCAGCCAGGGGCCTCGGTACATTATCCAGCACAAACACAAAGCTGGAAGAAATGCACTGCAGCCTGTAGCAGCGCATCACCACAGCACCGGCGGTGGGACATCCCATCTCCTCTCCTTCCTTTTCGTCACAGGCACCGAACCACGGGTTGGCACTGCAGCCGGGCCGCAAAACTGGAGTTTTCACATCCTGCCGCCGGTCAC